TCCACATGCCATGACTTGGGATGACGATGCCCGGCCCATGCATGGTTATGCTGGAGTTGCTTCACCAACTTGCACGTCGAGCGAAACACTTCACCACGCGGAAGCCGCTGAAGAGAAGGACGAGGAGCACGGCACCATGACGTCGCGTCGCCGCTTGCCATCCACTTCATCATGCCGGATGCCGATGAAGATGGAGACAAGGAGCTTGGAGTCAAGACACACACTCTCCACTTTATCAAGTCGGTGTAGGGTGGACACCGTCCAGACTGTTCCGGTCCCTCACCGAGCCACCTTTTGGACTGGCTGCCGGTGGTCCAGACAGGATGGGACCGACCACCCGGTCATGTTTTCAGGGATTGACGGGCAACGACGAAGCCCGGGATGGACCGAGCGAACCGGCCAATCACCACCGGTGGCGACGTGCACGGGTGCAGCGGCAATGTAGGTGACGTGCACAGGTGTTGTGGCAAGGTGGGCGACATGCGCGAGCACTGGCGGGCCAGGTGGGCAGCGTGTTGTTTGAAGTGCGATGAGCCACGCCTATGTTAGCCATGAACCTGCAATTGTTCATTAATAGTTTTTCCGGTTGCATGCAAGTAGTGTAGTGCGTGCATGAGCCTACATTTTTCTTTGTGAGGGCCCTGCCGAGATTAGTGGATCAAACCTGACATGAAGTTAGTCTAGAAAACTATTGATTTTCGTTTTGTTTTGAAAATAACACACACAGATAACAGATTAGTTGAAAAAGCAAACAACATATAAGTTGACCTCCGGAGACACACACCATTAATAGATGTATATACTTCACTAAGAAAATATGTATATACAACTCTGCCACATGCATGTGTACCAAATACAATATGATTTCTTACATAATCAGTAGACAAACATCCAAAAGAGAAAAACGAATACAAAGAATTGCGAAAAACCAACAGCAGAGAAGCACAACACACGCACTATGAGTTTCCTAATTGATTTCTATTGCCTCAAATTGACTATTTTTAGGATCACCTCACTTGATTTCTGTCTAGCACATAGACGCTCAATCATTTTCACACGACTAAGCAAGACTCGAACAATATGAACCTTAGGTGACAAAATTGACAAAAAAACCGCAAGAAAGAAAAAGGAGAAATGATCACACACGTGAAATATTTCTATCAATACAAATACATGACATGCGGTGATATGAATACTTACCGGTATGGTAGACAGACGGCAAATTGAAAGAAAGCCTACAATAAATCTATATATATTTCATTAGTATTTAATTCATATTTTTATTTCTAAAAACGTAGACACCAGCTAGGTTAAAATTAAGGATTGAACTACAAATATGAGAATATTAATTTAAATATTTAAATATTTAAAGTTCTCATAATATATGTCTAATTTTTTCGATCTGTTTTTACAAAATGAAATCCCTCAAAATCAAATAACAAAATGATTGTTGAAAACATTTCATTCATGTGTTCTACATATCTTGGTGAGGCTAAATTTTTCATGAATTGTGGATGTAAATAATTCTCAGTAAATCTTAGTACGGGCCAATTTTTCTCTACCATTGTCACACACAGGCTTGAAAGTTTCTATAATTTTTTTACTCCGGATCATAACCCATGCATGTTCTAAGTTTCATGTTTTGATCCTCAAATCATGAGTCTTTTTATTTTGTCATCAGCAACCGTTGTCACTTGACATAGTTCCTCGACCTCATCAACCATGCTCCATAGGAACTGGTATACGCACGGGCAATTGTGCTAGTATAAATAAATGCATTTCTTGTGTGCTTCTATATGCACCAGAGAGAAAAAAAAATTTCAAAACTCTTAATGTGTTAATTAAAAAAAGACTAAAATCTAGGTCAATTTTTGTTTTTGGCATTCTCAGAGTCTCAAGTCTCTGCACTAGATGGATAAGAGAGAGAAAATTGGTATACTATATTTTATAGGAATAATAATATAGGTTTTATGTCTTTAGAAAACATTGAGCACAATCACAGACATACACACAAAGCATAATATTGACGTAGAGATCAGACGAGAACGTCCCTTTCCTTACTAGAATCCGATGTGATAGAAGGAGCAGCTCTAACTTAAGCCTAAGTTGATCCTTAGTTACAATTCAAGATGCCTACAACACAATAAGGTAGGCAAAGCCACTAGTTTACTTGCTTGAAAAAGGCAACCTTGGCCAATTCACATTACCTCTTGTTATTTCAATCCTTCCATGTCCAATGCACCCATTAAAGCAGCTACAATGAGTAAGGAAGTTAGCAACACCACTTAACTCATGCTTCCGTTCGACTAGTTGTTTCGTAACTCTTATTTCCAAATCTTCTCTTCATCTGATCCTTGAAAGCAATTCCCCTCATTCTTGTCAAGGAGAACAATTCATTCATTGGTTAGTCTTCCATTTAGGTCGCTTATGTGAATCACCTAGAATGATGTCTCGGAATTCTTCAGTGAGAGGTTGCAGCTCTACGGGGACATCGCGGTCTCCGTTTTGAGCGGCGGTCTCTTTTGCCAATATGGCAAAGACTACCTGAAACTATTCTAAGGCTTTGTGAATTTGGATCTTTTTAAGGAAATTGTTATTCTTTGCAAGAACCGATTTGGATGTGTCTCCTATTATCAATGGACCAGGATCACCTTAACTCTTTCTTTCTCAAAAGAATAGGTATTCAAACCCATCATGGACTGCATTTCTTTCGTATAGCCAAGGTTACGATGGAGATGTCAATCTCTGGTTGAAATGGTAAACCACATATGTCAATCTTTGCCTAACTCAAATATAAAGTAGAAGGGGGAGCGTTAGCATGAGGTGGTCACCATGTGATTCTAAGCCTTCACTGTACACCAGT